AAAAATTTGAGTCTGTAATATACATACAGGTATTTAGTATTTATTCAAAAACTGCTGTTTATTTTGCAACCATTCAAATTAATTCCACGAAGTCTTGTTTCTTTGCTGTTCCTAAGCAATTTACATTCACATTTTTAATGTTCTTTTTCTTTTGTAATAATAAATCTTATATTGATGAAAAGCTTAACTATAAATTTTTGTACTGATTACATGTAGATCAAAAATTTTTTGCTCTTATTAGTAATAGTAGTTTTTATGGAACTTAGGAAATGAATTACACATCATGCAAATATATTCAAGAGACGTAATAATGTAGCTTGTGTCTACACATATTTAACATACTCATTTCCCTAAAACATTATTATTGGTTATCTAGTTAGAGCTGAAATTATTTATGATTGGCAGTGTATGAGAATAATGATACATATTTACTTTTTTTAATACTAATTTTGTAAAAAATATTTTTAGGTTTCAGAAAAAGAAGATAAGCCACCACAAGATCACTTATGTGAATTCCTTGGATTGTTCAAGACAATTGAGTGCAAAAAAAAATTATTATTGTTCTAAATTGTGCAAGGACATAAGTAAAAGGTTGTTATGATTGACAGCCTTACTGTATTTTTGTAATAAAAGTTTTAATCCTCTGTTATTTTTAATGACATTATTAGCTTTGATTGAAATATTATAAGATTCTGTTTTTGTTTAAGGAGCTCCCCTTAAGATGTAAAATTGTTATGCAAGAATTGGGTGTTATTTAAACATATTTCTTTTATAATTAATATATATTTTTTATGAACAAAATATAAACTTATATTTAACTCTCAAGTTCAGAATGAGAAACAGAATTTGTCCATTGAGTTATGAATTGTCTGTCAAGTATGAAAATACATAATGTTTGATCTCATATCTGGAAGTAAAATAGCTTTAAATAGGTACCTAAATATCTATTAGAAATTATGCTAACACCTAAAAAGATCTGTCATTTAATAATTCTTTATACATGTGGATTGATGCAATTCACTTTACAACTACCAAATGACTGGAGAATAATTCACCATGGAACTACCACATGATTGGCATATAATTTACTGTGAAACTACCACATGATTGGCATATAATTTACTGTGAAACTACCACATGATTGGCATATAATTTACTGTGAAACTACCACATGACTGGCATATAACTTACTGTGAAACTACCACATGACTGCCATATAATTTACTGTGAAACTAATTATTGGTATATAATTTACTGTTGAACCATCACATGACTGGCATATAATTTACTGTGATACTACCTCTTGATTGGTACATAATTTAGTGTGAAATTACCACTTAATTGGTACATAATTTACTGTGAAACTACCACATGACTGGCATATAATTTACTGTAAAACTACCATTTGATTTGTACATAATTTGCTTCTAAACTACCACATGACTGGCATATAATTTACTGTGGTACTACCACTTTATTGGAAAAAATTTGTTATAGAACTACCACATCATTGGCACATGATTTACTGTGAACCTACCACTTGATTGGTACATAATTTACTGTGGCAATACCACTTGATTGGAAAATAATTTGTTATAGAACTACCATATCATTAGCATCTGATTTACTGTGGAACTAAAATGTGTCTGGCATATAATTTACAGTGAAAATACCACTTGATTGGCACATAATTCACTGTTGAACTACCTCATGACTGTCACATAATTTACTTTGGAACTACCACTTTATTGGCCCCTAGATTTCGTAAATTTTCAAGGGGAACTAGACCTCTAAATTCTTATCAAGGGTGCCCTGCAATGCATCTCTTCATTGTGAGATAATCACTGATCTTTACAGAAAAAACAACTAGGAACATTTTGTGGTTCCACACTTGTAGTTGTGAATAGGATTTAAAACTTACAAGCAATGCCAGTATTTGGTTAAGAGCTGGACAAACCCATTGTGGTGGTGGGTGCTGCTTACTGGCTGGCTTAGTAAAAGGTTTAGTATATGTTTACGATCTTTCTACATTCTGTTAAAAAGGATGTCATAACGACATGCAGAACATTTACATGGAAATTTAGTCAAATTACCTGAATATTCGTCACAAAAGATATATCTCAAACTGTAACATGTATAACGTACTTCCTGGATGGAAAATTCACATTTTCTCACACGTTCCTTTTTATACTGCAGAGACTTGGAAGACAGACAAGAGGACTACTGCCTCTTCAGAACCAATTTCATGACACACAACTAACATGGGGCAGCAGAAGTTAGTTAATACTGGCAGCTTATATAGTACTTTTAAAATGTTTGATTTTGAGCTGTAAAGTCTGTAGTTTAGTATAAAAGTATTGATGAACTACCTAAAAGTGCCCAGTTGGAACACTTAACTAATGAAGTTAACTAACAAACTAACTTATTTTAGCATGCACTTTTTAAACACTATTTTTACTCGGCATAAATATCATACATGAAACGGATTTTTTTCAAACTCAAAACTTCAATGACAACTTTTCAGTCTTCTCTAAAAATCAGTTTTTAAAGCATATCTATAAACATTTTAACCTTATTAAATTTCTATAGCGCATCTAGCAGCAAAGAAATACAGTAAAAATTCATATAGATGTTATTTATCTATGGAAGATTATCTTTTGATTATTTAACATAGTTATTTTTTTAATTTTGAATACAATTCACAACTTTTTAGTAGAAAATAAACGATAAAATATTTCTTGTAAATATCACTTGGTTTTGTATCATTGTTTTACCTTTTTTTTTTTCTTTTAAACTTCATTGAAGTACAGAGATATTTAAAATTTTCATATCAGATGGCAAATAACTATTAGTTTAAAACTATGATATTTAAACAAAATATCAGCATCTTGGTTTGTTAGCAAATTGGTTTGTAAAACATAGATCAGTCTTAAATGTTCACTGGGACATCATATAAGAAGAATGTTGTAGAAATGTTTACAACTCTATTAACACTTTAGGCCTAATGTTTCAGTAGGTGAATGATGGGAAAATGTCCCTTCATTGTCAGGGAATGTTGGTGAATTACCGTCTAGTCATGACTTGTTAATTTTAATACTAGAAATAAACAACTTATAACACTAAATTTGTTATTTTTCTTCAATTGGACACTCAATGTTTTGCTTTACAACTTCTTCAGGAGCATTCCACTAAAATACAAACCATAACTTGTATGCTTATATTGTATTTTTATTAGAAAATATTATAAAGTTCAAAGACAAGCATTTTGATTTAAAAAACAACAAACAAAATAAACAAAACATTTGTGAATTAACATTTTAAGTCTAAACTTTACAAAGTAGCCCAAAGTCATGAGGGTCACACTTTAGACATTCTCAAATAAGTTGGAAACTTGCAACTCTATCCTTAAGTTCACAATGCTAGTTTTTGTTTATTTGAAAAACTTATACTACTGCCATATGCCCTGAAAACATCAAAAATATCCAGATACTTTAAACAAAATATGCAAGTTCTAATGTGAATGTTTTTCACATGCTAGCGAAGTATGATTATAATTAAGTACTTGCCATAGAACTTTAGTATCAGGCCTGTTATATTTTTTTAACTCTGCATTTCTTTATCTAGTCCCTTAGGGCTTTTTAAGAATTAAAAGATTGTTTAACACATTCCACAAACAAACGTTTTTAGCATTTTCTATCAAGCCTAGCATATTTTTCAAAGATTTTGTTAAACTTTTAAGCTTAAACTTGTTCTGTAATTTTAACTTGGCCTGTCATGGCCAGGTGGTTAGGGTGTTCAAATCACAATCTGTGGGTTTGAATCCTCATCCCACCAAACATGCTCGCATTTTTCAGCCGTGGGGGCGTTATAATGCTATAGTCATCCCACCATTCTTTGGTAAAAGAGTTGGCAGTGGGTGGTGTTCACTAGCTACCTCTCTTCTAGTCTTTCATTGCTAAGTTAGGGATGGCTAGCACAGATATCTCTTGAGTATCTTTGTGCAGATTTCAAAACAAACTTCTGACTTTGGATCTATTGTGTAACAGAACGAAGATATTTGTAAGATTTCTTTAACTTAACTTTTCTTTAGAGTTTTTGTGAGACTTCATTATAACTATAATCTTGTTTTAGTGAAAATTTTTTATTTTAATTCTTGGTGTGAGGCATCATTGTATAGTTTTAACATAAATAGGTCTAGCTTAACACATTGCGAACAGGTTATGAGTTTACTCGTGTTTCGTGCAGAGAGTCTTTGTATGCCATTTATTAAAACGTTGAGTTTGAAAGGAGTAGGACACATTTAATTTTGTTCAGAGTAAGTACATAAAGACACCAAGTAAATTTTTAGTGTGGTGTCTTGTAAAACATTTTCCCATATGGAGTGGAACTGCACAAAACTTGCATATGTATCATGTTTCGCTTCTTTTCCCATGAGAAGTACAAACTCTGCAGGCTCTGGTAGGAAATTTCTTTTTTCCTGTAGATGAAATTAACATAGGAATATGCTGCTTCATGTCATCAGACAGTTTTCCAGGGGAATCCTTTTGTGGGGCTCTTCTTGTACCTTCAGATGATGGACAGAGATTGTTCCTCTCTAGTTCCAGTGAACCTTCTTTCTCTTTGTCAATAATCTATCCTCTTGTCACAGAGAGGAGGAACTGCTTAAATTTTATTTTTTCTGTTGATTCAGGGCTTTATAGATTCTATGTGAATTGAAAAGGCCGCAAATTATTAGATAAAGTACTACCTTTTTTGCCCATTTCACTATTTTTCTGAAAATGGTGTAGTATGAGAGGTACTGATTTGCACGATCAACACCTTTCATGTGGGCATTGTATTGGAGAGCACACACATACACAGATTTTTTATTTCTTCTCCGGTTATTCTATTTTTCTTTCCTGTGGTAGAAACAGATGAGTCATGGATGGTTGAAACCATTCTCACTTCTTTCTTGTCTTTGTATGAAAACAAGAATATCACCTTTTCTACAGAAAACTGTTTCACCTTTTTTCATTGTTGCCACGCACTATTCACTCTGTTCCGCAGACTCTTGTTTTATGTTCTAGGAACAGGTTTGCAATGGAAGTACTGTTGAAATAATTGTCCTGGTATACATGGTGCCAGAATCCAAGATTGCGAGCAAGAACTGAAAGAATAGTCTCCTCCAATTTTTTCCACCCACCAGTATAAAGTTCCATGTTGCAAATACAACCTGTGTCACTCTCACACACCATTCTCACCAGCAGAACATATTTTACAATTGTTGCAGGGTTGTATCTTCGGAATCTTAGACGTCCTCTCCATGGAATCATGCCCTCATCGAATGGCAACTGTTGCTTTAGTTTGTATAGTGTCCTGAATTTATTGAGGAAATAATCCAGTACTGGTTGAATTTGAAGAACCTACCTGAAGACTCATCCATTTTCTAATTATCATTGAAATGCCAAAAATGTCCAAATTTGTTCAAATCTGTTTTGGCTTATTGTTTGCAAAAATATTGGGTTAATCAAAAGAGGATCTGTTGACCAATAAGCTTTCCAGTTATATTTTCTTGTCTGTCCCATTAGTAGAATAAGGCCTAGGAATTTCCTTGTGTCTGTAGGTGTAACTTCACACCATTGAAGTCCTTTCGATGACATTTTATGTTTCTCTGCAGTTTGATTATTGTAGGTACACATTTCCTGACAAAACATTTCAAACAAGTTGTCACTAAACATTAGACTTGTCATGGCAGCAATACTTTCAGGTTCAAATGAAGTTATAGTGACCCCCGGATTTCCTTCAAACATTTCCAAGTTCAGTGGAATATCTATTTCTGACCAATTATCATTATCACAATGGGAAAACAAATCACTAACAGGAACATTTGTAGAATCATCATCACCTTCTGATTCAGAATCAGTTGAGAGCACAACATCTTTATGTATCTTTGTAGGTCTAACATCATCACTCTTGCTAGAATCACTGTCAGAATGATCCACATTAGAATCTTCACCTTCACTTGGAAGATCTGACAAATTATCATCAAATAGTTCAGTAATTATCTCATCTTCACTCAACATGTTTTGTTTCCTGTGAGAAGCCATTTATAAAAATATGGATATTGTAAGTAAAAATCAGAAAAATAACAACTGTCCGAAACTAAATAAAACCCATCCGACTCCTTTCAAACTCAACGTTTTAACAGATTGCATACAAAGATGCTCTGCACGAAACACGAGTAAACTCGTGACCCATCAGCAATGTGTTCAGTTACAGAGGGGACACCTTGGATTGGTGGGAGAGAGCTCACTCAGGTTCAATTTAATTTTTTGCAAATCCAACAAAGTCAGAATATACACACTTACCCATATTTGACTGTTTTGTTTTTATTGTTATTTACAAATAAATATTGTTCTTGTACATCATTTGTGGTTTGACTGTTCTTTTCCTGACTAACTCAGTTATAGATCAGAGAGATAAACAAATACACACACTGTGACTGAGTATGCTTGAAAGGGCCGCATCTAAACTACTCTGAGGTAAAGCCGTTAGCCGGAAATGCCAGTGTATACTGTATTTACTTAAGTAGTTTAATGCTCATTTTACAGATTCTAGTCACAATTGGAAAAAGAAAGAAAATGCAGTAAATCGAAAGTAGATTTACCTGTGGTCAATTTGGTGGTCAATGAGGTTTTGACTATACACAGCATAGCCAAATGCGTCCAATGTACACTGTGTATACTTAAGTAGTTTAATCCTAATTTTAAAGATTCTAGTCACAATTGGAAAAAGAAAGAAAATGCAGTTAATCGAAAGTAGATTTACCTGTGGTCAATTTAGTGATCTACCTCATTGGTATGAATAGCCTAAGATAAATTCAAATCTGAATTCTACTATTCTTGTGCTTAAATAAATAAAAAATACTAAATATAATAGGCAAAAACGCAGTCTTATTTAAAACAATAAGTTTTTTTTAGAGTATATGGTATTTTTAGGTGAACTGATTTACCTTACGGGTAAGAATGGGAACCACACTAGCAGGAAGAACAGTAGCAAGTATTATGTGGAATTATATCTGAATTTCTAGCTATTAATAAGCTGAAGAAAAAACCAAACTCAACTTAAAAACAAAATTTAAAAAATCTTTATTGAATGAAATCAAAGATAGAAAAGTGCATATATGTGAAAAACGTTGAACATTTTAAGTGAATAAGTATTTTAAGCATTTACCTGTCTGAATTAAAGTAAGATAAACTCATATTATGTTTTGCATACATTTTTTCTTTCCTTTTTCCTTAGGCTTGTTCTCAAGCCAGTTTTAAATGTTTGTTTAAAAAATAACAAAAACCGTGTACCAGTTATGTATCTCTGTAGGTTGTTTTTAACGTGAAGCACATGGATAGTTTAAACAAATACAATTCTTTAAGAATATTTGTTTGTTTGAAGTTAAGCACAAAGCTACACAATGGGCTATCTGTGCTCTGCCCACCACGGGTATTGAAACCTGGATTCTAGCATTGTAACTCCACAGACATACCGCTGTGCTACTGGGGTGTGCTCTTTAAGAATGATAAATCACATTATATACTGCAGTAGGAAAACACTGTACATTACATGTAAAATAAGACTTTAACAAATATACTAAATTTACAATAAATAATTAAAAATGCCCCTTAAAGTTATTCATTTGTACAATTTACTAAAAACTGAGGGAAATAATTACAAGTTATTGGGGAAGAAGAATCATTATAGGTAGTGGGTAAGTTTCATTTAGGTACACAATATATTTGCACATTTATGTTAAAATGAAGTTGATTATAACAACTTAAATGATCAGATAACAGTTCAGAAAGTAAGGGCCACAATGTCCTTTCAACTTACAAATGTTTCTGTACTCCTAGAAATCACTTTCAGTCATACAAACTTGCTGTTTTAGTTATTAATATATCTACTGACAGTTGTTGTCCAAACTGCATAATAATCAAGCAGTTATAACGTGATATTGCACAAGCATGACTCAATTAAACTCTGCTTGTTAGCTTGAAAAGTAAAAGTTGCAACAACACTTTGGTATCAATAAGCTTGCAATCGACAAACTGCCCTACCTTTATACTAATCTAGTGGTTTTCATTTGATGAAGTGTATAAATCCTACCATGAAATACCATTTGATAGCTCAGAAAGCAAGGAATACCTCTTCATTTCAGTCACTATTTTGCTACCAATTTCTACTTTAACTGTTGATTAGCCAGCCAGGATCAGGAAGTTGATGTTGGTGTTCTGGTCAATCATCCAAGTAGTAATGTTGTTCCACAACTGGTGTTGTTTTTTTTAAATTTAACTTTTTTTTGCAAAGCCAGTGCCTTCCTTCATTCCAAATCTTGATTGAGTCAAGCACAGAATTGTCCAGAATCAGCATCTGGGTTTGGTCATTCCAACTACTTGTCTTACTGAAATGTTTAGGGAGGCAGTCCATGTCTTTCTTAGCTGTGCCTTTGAATGTTGGGGGAGAGATTTGCTTTATTTGGAAAACAGGAACTTATGGATATACAAACAAAGCAACTACAGCGTTGTCTTAGTTAACACCGAGAATATAAGGTTGAGAACTCAAGACATCAGGGACATAGGGTTTGTTGGTTCCCAGGAATCCTCTATGTTTTGACAAATGTCCTGATCCTTCATACTGAGCAATGGGTTACCAAGGGCATCTTCAGACTCTGTAGGACCTTAGTGACTCAAGGAGTATACTTTCTGTTATCTAAAGATTCATATTTACCACACAGGTCACCATCTTCACCACTTTATGCCAGCTGTTCCTTGTGGCAGGACATCAGCAGCACCTCCAATTTCTTCAGTTTCCTTTTCTGAGTTTGCATCTCTATCAAGATCATAGACATAGACCTTTCAAACATCATACAAACTCTTATGATAGAGTAATAATGTCTAGAACAAACTTCTACCCTCAGTGAATGAGAAATGATATTATCTCGATAGTTATCCCTGTACTTGTGCGTCCAAAGGATCCTGCATCACGTTAATTAGCTGCCTCGGGGCGGGGGACGGGAGGGAAGGGGCGTGAAATGTCATCAAATATGATGGTGTCACCAGAGGACGTGTTGCTAAGCCGTCATGACAGACGGTCAAATGACGTCAGAGAGGACTACGTTATAGTTCCACAAAAATGTCACCAGAGAGCGCATTGCTAGCCTGTCATGATGCAATAGTTCCAAAAAGTGGAAGATGTATTGCTAGACCACCATGCCGTCATAATTCTATGAGGTGGGGCCAGCATAACATGTCTAAACATGAGTATAATTTATACAGTCGGTTTAAATCACTAATTTATTCTGACCTAAAAAGGACGTTTAGCACTAGCTTATTAATTTCATACATTTCCTGACCATTTAAATCATTCTAAAAGGATGATATCATAATTAAAACTTACTGTTGATGTCTCAACGTGAGTATATTTACTACAATCTGTTTAAAACATAAAGTCATTAGTTATTTACATTTCCTAACCATTTAAATCATCCTACAAAGGACGCCTATCACTAATTTATTAGTTCTATACATTTCTTTACCATTTATATGTCCTAAAAATATTATGAAATATTATTCATTAATTAATTGAAACTTCCACTTTCGCTAGTTTGACTTTACGCTATCAAGATAACTTGACAAAATAATTCATTTACTCATTTTACAAAGGTGAATGGTGTGCTACATATACAACCTGTTACTAAAGCAAATTGTTTTTCAATGTGAGACACATTGAAAAACAATTTGCTTTAGTAGAACACCATCTACCTTTGTAAAACACGTGTAAATGAATTATTTTGTGAAGTTATATTGATAGCATAAAGTCAAACCAGTGAAAGAGTAAGTTTAAATTAATGTATAATATTTAATAAACATTTTTCTGGACCGTTTACATATAAATGGTCAAGAAATGTATAGAATTAATGAATTAGTGTTAAGCATCCTTTTTAGGACAAATTAAATATAGAGTCAGGAACTGTAGTTAACTAATACATTAGTAATTTAAACAGTTGTACTAAATATAGTCATGTTGAGACATGTTAATCAAAATTGTACTGTTTCCACTTTGTGGAACTATGACGTCATGACTGCCTATAATACGTTTTCTGATTTCGTAAAACTATTATGTAATCATTCATCATGGCTGTTTGTCTGTTATTGAACTATAATTTCAACCTTACCTAAGTTAGCAGCGTCCTCTGGTGGAACTTATGGAACTATGGCAGCCAATCAGCGTGAGATGGCATCCTTTGGACGCAGAAGTGGGGGATAACTACTGAATCAAATGGTGGGACAGCATCAAAACTCGTTTGTTTGTGTCCTGTGCTTAAGTACTTTTTATTTAAACTCGTCTATTAATCTGACGTAGAACACAACTTAACATCATACACCGATTTTAGTATGTAATTTCCCACTGCTACAAATATATTTAAACAAAAATTCTAAGAGCTATACTTGAAAAAAAAAGTATAAGAATTATTTCCTGCAAAGAGAAGATGTATTTGTCTAACAAGATGGTCATACCGGAATTATAAGTACCTGTGATTTCATTTCTGATGGTAAGAATTATGTTTATCGGACATGAAATACATACGCGCGCATGTACGAATATAAAAAGCACATGCGCGTGCATGAACGAAAATGAGAACCTGCGCGCGCATGTACGAAAATGGGCACCTGCACGCGCATCTACGAAAACAAGCACCTGCGCTCGCATGCAAGAAAATGAGCACCTGTGCGTGCATGTGCAAAAATAAGCACCTGCACGCTGATGTACGAAAATTGGTATTTGCGCGCACATGTACGAAAAAGGGCACTTGAGAGCGCATGTACAACAATGGGAACATGCGCGCGCATGTGCGAAAACGGGTACCTGTGCGCGCATGTACTAAAATTGGAACCTGCGTGTGCATGTACCAAAATAAGCACCTGCGCGCGCATGTACGAAAATAGGCACATGCGCGCGTATATACCATATTACGAACCTGCGCGCGCATGTACGAAAATGAGCACCTGCGCGCGAATGAACCAAACGAAGTACCTGCGCGCGCATGTACTAAAAT